TGAAAACCGCAGAGGAAGCTCCTCTTCCTTCGAGTCCTTCATGTTGGAGCTGGACTGATGTGTTTTTTCAAAACACGCCGTTGCGAAGCCATCCTCAGACAAGTGTGGCGGCAAAGGTGCCAGAAAGAAGGCGTTTGAGATGTGTCGCCACTCATCCCTTTGGTATGCCCTTAGACCCTTAACGCCTTTGGTTCATAAGGGATTTACTAATGAACCCCTTATTCTTCGGCTAAGTCCTTAGCAGACGATCTGTTTGGGCAGGTTGGGGTTACTGAAACCATCTGAAACATCTTGCGATGGGACCAGAAGCTCATCCCAATTTAACATGGGTCCTTCAACGTGATCTTTTGATCCCCTGGCTTGAGGCCTGGAAAAGTTCACTTCGGACTCCCAAATGGTCACGAACTGAAGAAGCTGCAGGATGTCAACCCTCATGTTGCACCGGAAGTTGGTCGATCAGTTGACTTCCTGAGACCTTAAAGGAGACGCTTCTTTCGACGACAAAATGTTGCATGTTCACCGCCAGGTGACTGCTAAAGCCTCAGTCATGGCAACCACTGGCATGTCCTTTGGGATGACCGTGAACTTGCTGCAGAGCGCCACCTGGACCGAGGAAACCAAGGAAGCGAGAGGGAGCAGCGTTTGTCAGACGCCGGACGCCGTTTTTTTGGCGCTGAGAGGGAGCCACCTCAGAACGATGGCTGAAGAGAGAGTGGAAGATGTCCTGGGTGCTGGGACTGTTGGGACCAACACCAAGTCACTGGAGCTCAACCAAAACACGAACTGTCGGGTGGAGTGCTGGAGCTTCAGACAAACCCACCCTGTTACTACTGGGATTGGTGGACCCCAAGCAAGGACTAGGGCCTAAACTTCTGCACTCTCCGACAGGTCACTGAATGGTTCCACCTGTTCAGGTGCTCAACCCTCAACCAACGACCTGGCATGTTCCGGGTGCCCGTTGATGGATTCTTCATGTTGTTGTTCCCTGAAAGGACCTCGACATTCCAAGAAGGACCCCTGGGATAGTCGAACCCTCTGGTTCTGAAGCACGTCTGTTGCCCAAGAGGGTAGCCAGTGACCTTAAATAGGACCCTAATTACTGGAGTAACCCTGGCGTACCAGACTGGGATAGTCGAACAGTCGGGTCCTGACCCACCTCTGGGCTGTGAGGTGGGCATCATTGGCATGATGACTGTGGAATGGCCCGGAGAACTCCAAGGAATTCTGTCCGCCTTCAAGGTGCGCGAGCCAAAACATGCGCGCACGCGGGCGCACGCGCGCAGCTTGCGCAAGCTGCGCGCGCATTTTTGTGTGTGTCTCTGCGTGCTTGGCGCAAGACAGGTTGAATGACCTGAAATAGGACCCGGAAAACCTGGGGTACCAGACTGGGATAGTCGAACTTTAGGGTTCTTCAACCTTTGTGCTTTGTGCAGGGCCTGAGCTGGTGTGGAGAAAAGAGTTGAGGAAAACTCGACGAGGAGACATCGAATGATTTCCGACCCAGGACAAGCAGACAACCTGCCCAAGCTTGGTTGCTCCAGTAAGCAAGAACAGATGGACAAAGGATGAAAAAGGTTAGTTAAACCATGTTAACCTTTGTTGTCCAGGGAGACTGAGAAGGTCGGATTTTTCGATTGACCCTCCTGTGGGTCCTACCTGGTGTACCGCAGTGCACACTGTACACGATATCTATGATTGTTTTGTTTGCCGATGATAGATCAATGGATAAAACCTTCAGAAAGATGGGGATTTGGGAGAGGCGGTCTTGAGGCTTGAGATGATTCTGAAAATCCATTGATTGGAAACCATAATTTTGGAGACAGGCTGCATCGTCCACCCGCACAAACATTCAGCCCAAACAACCATGGTCGTTCTGAAGTCTCAACTTGGCTACGTTGGATTCGGGTTGTTGGGAGCGTTTGGTTGAAGTTCTTTCTTCAGAGATGGAATCTTCTTGTACAGTGGTTTCAGAGTAGATGGCACAATTCCCAAAAGGTGGTTACTCGGACCTATACAATAATATACAATAGACATCTTTTGGGTGCCAGTGCCATCGAACCTCTGAAACCACTGTATCTACTATGGCGTGACCAGGCAGAAAGACCGACCAGGCATGTGAACCGTCCTGATCAACTGCGGATCGGATGCATGTTCAGCTTCCGGGACTGGTGGAAATCCCCTTCATGGGAACTTCATGGGAATATGGTCTATTTTGTTCCCTCCCTAACAATCCTTGGGCATCCTTGGGCTCTCTATGGCAGGGGTCGGACCCGACACCTTCGCAGGGGTCTGGGCCCGAACCAAACCCTATGTGTTGCTTCGGGCCCGGATTTTTGGGGATGACCATCCAAGTGATCCAAGATTCCGAGTACACTTGGACCCCATCCAGCTAGACTTAGACGTAGACACACCAAACATCACACACATATATATATACCTAGATCTTCAAATGAGCAGAAATAAGTGCTCGAGGTGTAAACTGCTCGTTTTGCAGAAAAGTGCTCGAGCTGCAAATGAAGAAAAGCAAAAACAGGTGCAGTTTTCCAAAGTGCGCTCGTGTGCGCTTTTTTGCGCTCGTGTGCGGAATTTTGCGCTCGAAGTGCGGCCTTGAAAAAATGCGCGGGACACACAAGAAACTGCGCGTTTTACAAAAACTGCTCGTTTCTCCAGAAAGTGCTCGATTCTTAAGAAAGTGCTACGAAACGCAGGTTGAGCACTTATTTCTGCTCGTTTGAAGACCTAGGTATATATATTATATACATACAGACATATATGTTTTGTTTTTCCGCGATGTTCATTTTTGCTAACGGCCGTGTTTTGTTTTCAAGACTCAATCTTTGTCTCAGAATCCATTCAAGCGCGTTTCCTTGAGGTGCTCCTCCTGGATATTGATAATTACTCCTTCAGCTGCTTTGCCGGACCCATCACCACCGTGCGATACATCAACAGCCTCTTGGATCGAGTATCGGAGTATCAGTCCGGAGCCATGTTTCGCGGTGGGGGACGGTAGAAACGAACTGCTTGGGGTAATGTTGGGTATGTGAGGCTATATTCTTGGGTTGGTTTCTGACACAGGTCAACACGACCCCATACACCCAGCAAACTCTTGGTTTGTAATACAGTGTATACATAGGGATATTCATAGATCTCACTCCAGCTCTGCCAACGATGTGAGGAGACCTCACTGGACACGCCCCAAAATTCAGCTACTTCCAGCTACTGTACCCAATAGATTTTGATGTCAGTGAACAAGAAAGCTTGGGCCTGCACCTTCGTAAAGCGATGGTTTAGGTCCATCGCAGGGCGGTTTTGGGTCTCGGGGTCTCCAGGCAATTTGAGGTGTTTTTTTGGGTATCGTCACTAGGAGTGAGAAAGCAATGAGAAAGCAAAGCATACAATCTATCCCTAGGGATCCAAGTACCTTCTCAGAAGGTACTTGGACCCTCCAAACCTACACAACAGTGCCTCCAATCACCTTCTGAGAAGGTACCTGGATCCCTAGGGTATACATTAAGATCTATTAAGCTTGCTGTGTTTTGCAGAATGCCCGCCCACACCAAGAGACATAGTCCAAACGTGTCCTATTTAGGCCATATTGCAATAGTCCAAACATGTTGGGTAAACTTTGAATGTCCTTTTGCCTACTGACTTTGGCCGGATTGGATTTGACAAACTGGACAAACCAGCAGCCTGGGCAGAGTATCCATATCAAGAGATCCAGAATTTCAGGAGAAACAGAAGGTGTGATGGCTTGACGCTGCGCGAGAGGTGAACAAATAGAAAATCCACCTGCAGAATCTCTGTAGTCACGAAAGGTAGCTTGAGCTACGTGAGTTCTCCTTGCTTTAGCAAAAATGTATTACAATCTGGAGTTGGGATTATGCATTGAGTTTGGTCCTGTAAGAAAGGATTCTGTTCGACAGGGCCCCCCCCCCCCCTGGATCATTCCCCCCCCCTTCGCCGTCGCTGTTTGGGTCACATCCATCCACCTTTGACGCCGTCATGGACTTCTACCAGGGTTACTTATGATTGCTTGCTACCTTTCGTTCACCCCCTCCTCTCTCAAGTTAAAATCATCTAGCAGTGGAGTGCCATGGCGCATTCCAGGTGTGGTGTTCTTCTTCTTGGGTCAGTTCTGGCTGCTCCTGAACTTTGGCATCTCGAGGATTCTGCCCAAACGCTTTGCCTGGGATGCGGTCGCTCGGAGGTTAGCGACGACCAAGTGGATGACGTGCCCGAGCATGTTTCTTTGGGGTTTTCTCCACTCCCTAGGGATCCACATACCTTCTCAGGAGGTACGACTGGGCCCTAGGGACTAGTCACTAGAACAAATGGACAGAGGTTACGCATGTTTCCACGGAAATGGCTCGGGGGTCAGCCTGCCAGATTTCTTTGGAACAGAGGGCAACAGCGGCAGCTACATTGTTCAAAAGCGTTGTTGCCAGCAGAACTTGGGAGGGGTTGTCATTCCTAAGCCTCAGAAAGAAGAAACTGCGAAACCGCACGGGCCATGGGCGGCCATGAGCTTTCCAACCGAAAGAAGCCGTGTGTGTTTTTACATGGTATGGGGCGGTAGGGGGGGTCATTTGAGTCTCACATCTCTAGGTGCTTCAGGTCCTGAAGCGGCCGGGCTGCAGGCTGCGGTGGATTCAGACCCAAAACCCTGGGCTGTGAGGGTCAAAACCCAAGCGAACTGAGGGTCCAATGAGCCTTTGGGAGGTGGTATTCCATGAGTTCGGATGAAGGCTAAGTGAAACGGGGGAAGGTTTCACATGTGCCACCTAGCCTTCCAAGACCATGAGTTGAAAGAGCCGGAGCAGATGTGGTAGTGCCAAATCCTTAGTACCATACCATGGCCGTTGGGGATTCAGGCCATGAAATCCATTTCGGTGTCATCGGTGTCTGATGATGTTCCACCTTGGTGCCGCCTCACCGGAACTCGTGACCGGGCTCGTTTGGGGCGTGGCGTGGAGCACTGCGAGGCGAAGACGGGCAGCACGATGGGGCAATTTTGGCAGGTGGGCTTTAGCACCATGAGTACCGTGGCTTTGGCGCCCCTGACCTGTGGCCTTGGCTTGAAAATTCAGGGGTTGGGACCTGGCCTACCCAGCAAATCCGCAAAAATCACCTGCCAAGCCTTTTCTTAGAGTTGGTTTCTCCTCTCAACAAGAGCCGGTGGAAACAGGTTCATCTTTCTTTTGCAGTGAACAAACTGAGGACGTTAGTGCTGATGCTGATACAGTAGGTCGGAGGATGTCGAAGGAAAGGATGTGGAATGGTCGAACGGTGGCACGTTTGAAGCATAGATGGCCTTTTCACTGGTGGTTGATGATTCATAGAGGGCTTACTGATACTCCCACGTGAACGACCAATAGGTCTTGGTACCAAACCAACCCGTCTATATTTAATTCCCAAAAGGACATCACTGGTCTGAAGTGCCTGTCACGGAACGCTTCGAACCAGTACTGAAGGTTATAGCCAACATTAACCAACAGAAGTGGGTCAGAACCCTATAGACTAGACGGGTCCTATTTACGGTCACTTACCCTCTCTTGGTAAGGCATGGACCAGCAAAAGCGCCTTTTTTTGGGGGGGGTCTTCATCGTCCGCCACCCAGGTTATACGCACCCGAACGGCATGCAGAGCTTGTTGAAGTACCCGAACATCATTTGTGGCGGCGACGGTCATGGAGTGATGCTGCGTGGCTGATGGTGATGTCATCGGTGCGGATGCTGCGTGGTGATGTCTTCTTTGGTTGGTTGGTGCAAACATACAAAGCCCAGACGCTCCATGGGACTGCCATGGTTGGTGCAAACATACAAAGCCCAGGCACTCCTTTTATGCTATATATGCCTACATTGGGGTGGTGCCAGGGGGGTCAATGTAAGCATATATTCCAAACATGGAGTGTATGGGAACTGTTGTTGTTGGTGGTTGTTTCTGCTTTTGTTGTTTTTGTTTGCATGGAAAAATTGATGTCTTCCGGACGGAACATGTCGGGCTTTTCTTGAAGAAAGATCCGTGGGTAGAACTGCCGGCAGCCTGCAGTCAAAGCAAAGGGTTCACGACGCATCATCTGAGGCTGGTTTTTGGCATCCTTTTGTGGCTTGGACATGCAGCTGGTGTGATTTGTCCTCGGATGCTGCAAGAGTGGCCCGTAATCCCGACTCTTGAGAAAAATTAAGCACCCCTCACTTGGATGGTAAAGTTTCCTCATATGAGGGGGGGTGTATCAATCAAGAGTCTAGATGAAACTCTTGACTGTTCATGTTAGACAAGAGACATTGTGAGGCTCACAACCACCAATGCCTTGCTTTCTTCACCCTACCAAACACTGGTGTGGAAGTCTTCACAAGTAGAACGATGGAGATTTGAAACGTTTCCCTTGCTGCAATGCTTCCAATTATACTTCCATATTATGCATTGTTTGAACATGGCTCTGGGAGCGTGCCCCTAAAATCTGCAATTTACTATTATCTCATAATATCTCATACTATCTCTATCTATGCCTTACCAGTTATGAAGACAAATGGCCAGAAAGGTTAGAACTTGAGGAAGGGTCCAATCAAGCGCGCCTTCATAATAACATATAATAACATGTATGCAACCATCCATAACAACAAACTCAAATATGAGAGGAGTTCTTCCTGAGTCCTAATGGGTCAGCATCTTGTCCTGAAGCTTAACATGCAGAAAAAAATACCCTCCCTCAGACAATCATGGAAGCTGAGCCGGCCCCACTTGTAGATGCAAAATGGTCTTCCAGGGGCCGAACTGTTCCAGGATTCTTGCAGGGAGTGTAGCAGTTCAGGCGCAGGACACCTTATACTATAATCACTAGAGACATACCAACAGAGGTTGAAGAACCCTATAGACTATCCCATAGGTACCCCAGGTTACGGGTCCTAGCTTCTCTGGCTTGGCGTTAGTTCAAGAAACTTCACCAAAAGGTCTGTTTGGGCAAAAATCGCCTTACCAGCGCGAGCAGCGGCGAGTGCGCGAGCTCGCATGAGTCGAGGCTGTCTGTGGGAGTTTTTGGGTTTTTGGCCCTTTGCATCTACGCAGCCACCATGATGCCCAAATGGAGCGCCAGCGATCGTAGCTTGGATGTGGCGATTGTGATCTCTCAGGGGCTAGGGTCTTATAGTGACTCAAGAGACGGTGGGGGATGCGCAAGGTGCTTCAGAAGCTTCCACAGCTCATGACTTAATGACTGCCGACAGGAAGGTGGAAAGCTCACGGTCGCGGTTGCTCAATAATTTCAGTGCCCTGGCTTCCCAAGAGTTGACCATGACCAAGGGCCCGTCAGGGTTGGGATGGATCGTCGGCCGTGGCGGCCATGGGTTCTTCAACCTTGGGACGTTAAGCAGAAAACACCAAAAAGGAGACCCGGATGAACCAGGATGAAGCTCCCTACTTGGAGATCCTTCAACCCCCAGAACATGCCGAGGTCGGCATTTGGTGCAGGGCTTTCGCTTCTTAGTCTTCCGCTTCCGCTTGGACAGCCACCGAGCCTGCGCTTGGGGGTATACGCGCGGCCGACGCGTGCTTGGACCGCCGGTGCTCGGTATAGCGCGGGGCGGTAAGCGGGGCGAGACGAGACATGGGGCCACCTCGATAAGGAACTGGAGCCATGCGCACAAGAAGATACAAGAAGCAAGTTCCAGCAGTTTACAGGCTGTTGTGTGCGATTAGTCTGTAGTCTATGTATGTCGACATGTCTATGTATGTCGACATGTCCAGTTTGGGGGTGTTACCTGCAAGAGTCGGTAAACAATTCACGATTTTAGAGGAAGGCCTTTACCTATAAGTGGAAAAAATTATCTGTTACAGGGAATGGGATACCCCTAAATATAATTAAATATATAGTTTATACCAGCACCGGGCGTTAATCGCCCCCCCCTTTCAACACACCCAGTCCAGCCTCGGCGCCCACCCCCGAGGCTGGTGGTACGGAGTGCCCTTGTTGGTGCGTGGACCTTTGCTCTCCTTGCCCATCGTGTTGGCGACCGACTACCCGCCCATGCAGACCATCTTCGTGAATGTCACCTGGTAGAACCTGGTCGCGGAGGTGAACTGCTGGCTCAGTGAAGCCCTCTTTAGAGGATTGTTGGCAAGGCCGTGTCAAGCCTTACTAGGTGATGGTTTCGGATATTTTCAACCCTTACCTGGGGATGATTGGGCCCTCGATCTGACTAATATGTTTCAAGTGGGTTGAAAACACCAACCAGCTTATATTGTTTGATATATGTATGAAACGCATTGAGACACCATTGGAACAGGGAGCCTTGCGCCGGACATACTCCATCTCAGGTCAAGCAAGTACCCCGCCAGTCACTACAAAACGATGGTCTCAAACACTCCATGGGACTGGCATATTAATTGAATATATTTCCAGGGTATATAGTAAGTATATATATATATTATACCTTGGGGCATATTTCTTCATTGGCCAACATGATCCAGCATGATCCAGCATCTCATTCCAGCCCTATCCGTGTTGTTTGGGTGTGGAACATGTGGAAACCGACGGTGCGGGACGATGGGAAAACTGGCAGCCGGAGGGGCGATCGATCAAGCAAGCCAGCTGAGCCTTTGAAGCTGGCCACGAACAGCTTCACGGCACACGGGGCCTAAGCGGGAAATTCAGACTTTACTGAGTTTACTTGGTCACTATAGATGATAATAACGTACTGGATTTTGTTAATTCTTAGTTGATTTGGCCCTATCTTTGTCAACCAGCTCTGCAAAGCCTTCCCCGAAAACCAGCTTTCCTGCCACTGAGGTGATCCTGGCCGTTTTCCTCATCATCGAGACCCTGTCCTGGCCCTGGAAGGTGCCACTCTTGCACCTCGTCTTCCACACTCGGGTTCCGCAGAACGCGCGGAAACCGCAGAGCGCGCGGAACTGGTCATGGGGTTGAGGAGGGTGAAGCACACGGTGTGGTTTCAAACCCCCGTCAGGATCGGGCGTAAGTTGTTCATCCGAAAGATGCTCCGGGTGTTTCCGGTGGGACTGGAAGAGCTACATTTACAGACTACCTAAAACATCTAGAAATCCAATTGGCCACTGTTCTGATAGAAATTGACCATATTTTGGATGGTTGGTGGTCCAAAATAGAGGTCATTCAGGTTCTAGGTGCATTACCATCATTTGTGGGTAGACCAGTGACGAGTTGGTAAAAGAGCATCACTATATTCATCACGATTTTTGAGAAAGGCCTGCAATCCATCACCATCCACTGGGCCCTGGTGATTGGACATGCCCGACATTGATCGACAGTTGGGAGTGGTGAGTGGTTTTTGGGTTTGTCCGAAGCGTTTGGGGGAGAGGAAGACGATCAGAAGACAGTGAAGGATCCGGGGCTTGGAAAAAACGCTTTGGAACATGTTGTTCCCACATGAGGGTGACCAATTCCAGTGCAGTTCGTGTGGATGACTTGGCACGTATTTTATCCTAACATACCTTTATTTTCCAACTGTGCAAAATTTACATGTTCATCTAAAAATCTGTCAAAGGGTATAATTTTCGGGTACTTGGAAGATCCAGGTATGCTAACCAATCTGAACGACCCAATTACCATGGCCTCCACCTCTCGATAAACCGTGAGGTTTCGCTCGGCAGGCATTGAAGATCTGCCCGGAACATCACCGGGGTGGGGCCCCGCAGTTCAGCTTTGGAGGGATCAGGTGATGTGCCAATTTTCGGGGTAGCACTGAAGAAGCGCATCCAAGAAGAGGTGTTTTGTTCTTTTTCACCGGGGTTGGGCCGATCGGGTGGTTTTGTGCTCTCCAGATTGCTACACTCTGACTCACTAACATGGAAGTGGAAAACCCGCTGTTGGTAGAGGAAAGTAGTCTTCCAAGTGACCATTGTCCACTTCCATGTTAGTGAGCCAGAGGCTATATATTTTTGAACCCGGTTTTCTGAAGCAATCCATGTTGAAGGTGATCAAGCCAAGATCCGAAGATCCTCGATCCAGCGGGCACCATCCGATCCCAAAAGGAACATGCGGCCATTCTGACAAAATGGGTGTGCTGCTTGGGGGAATCGCGGAAGGCTTCGAGTTCCTGGGTTACAAGGGGAGACTGAGTGTCTCTGAGAATTCTTCTGGGAGCTCTGCCTACCCAAACAGTGGATGACCTGCCCAAAGAACAACTGGAAATTTGGGTTTGGCCCATGGTCCTGTGTGGCCTGTGTGGTATTTCAGTCCTCTCTTCTCGGTTGCTTTGAGCGCTTAAAAACGGGAATCGCCGACCTGCCTCTTTCAGGAACTTGGTGGCCTCTTGGCTGAAAAGAAACGAAAGAAACCCTCTTGGGCTCCAATCCCTAAGAAGGTGGTTAGATCATCTTGGGCTCAGAGGGCTCAGAAGGTGGTTAGATCATGCTAGATCCCCCATGACCCCCCATGGCCAGGCCAGGAGCCCTAAGCCATGATGTGCTGATCCAAGCTCCGCTCCGATCAGTGGCAATCCATACGTGATGACCCCGTCCAAAACGAAATGAAACATGTATCAATCTATAGAGGAAAGTAGCCTTCCGGATGATCATTGCATATCATTTCCGTATATTTCCATGTTTGATCATGTACGTTGGTTTTAGAGAGTGTACTTGTAAGCAACTTCAACAATTACTCGAGCACAAATGCATGTAATGTAGCTTGCAATAGTGTTGCTTTTCGCCAGCTTCGTTCCTTGCAGAACGAGATGGGTGTGCAATCAGAGAACGAGAGATCCTGATAAGTTATCAATCAGATGAATCAGATGCATTTAAAAAAGACGTTGCCGTGATGCACATGGTTCAAACTGATCTCCAGTTCGCGTCCTGGGCACGCCACAGAGTTACAGTTGGTCAAGTTGGTTGCAGAACCGTCCTGGCACCCAAGATGACAAGACCAAATGTTTATTTGAACGTCTTTGTGGATCATTTGCTCATCACTATACGTTCACACAGACAGTAACACCAATTGACGACCAGCCAGGAAAAACAAGAACTTGTTGGTGGTTAGATTCTTTTTGGCATATATGGCATTACATGGCATTACCACTGATATGGGTGTGCCGGTTTAGGGTTTAGGGTTTGGGTCACCGTGTGCCGGTCAGGACATGTGGATGACTCTTTGCTTGATGCTATTGGTCATGGGCTCCGCCTTGTATTTGGAACCCGTGGAGGGTGCCATGAAAGACTTCGCCGCGGGCTTCTCAACGGTGCCTCGGAGGAGAGATCCAAGCATGACCCGTCTGGAAGAACCATGTTGATCTAATCGCCTATCTTACCGGTTTTGCCCTGCGCAGCCTGCGACAGGTCAACCATGGTCAACCACGACCTCCGAAACAAAAGTCACCAAAGGGGTGGTCTCCTTTGGAGGTCGGCCGGGTGATGTAATGGGCCGGGTATTTTACTGGGTCCCTGGGTGACTCATTACCCAGACACTCCATGGGACTGCCATATATGCTTACATTGACCCCCCTGGCACCACCCCAATGTAGGCATATATGGCAGTCCCATGGAGTGTTTGGGTATGGCATGGGAAAGAGATGGGACAAGTTCGGATGTTCTTTCCGGCTCCTGGTCGCCGCAAATCCAAGGATAGGGCTGCGTATGGCTGTGGCATAGGAAGACCCGGACGTCGACATCCATGTGGGTAACACCTGGACCCAAAAGCAGAATGAGTCAATAAAGCTGATGGCAAAACCACAACTTGAATCGAATTGAGCTTCCTTCGCACGGAGATATTCACGGGTTAATCGACCACGAAGGACCTGAAAGAGGAGGCGCTTAGGTCAAGCCAACAAAGGGTCAGTCAGTCGGTGCTGTCGGTGCTTGGCGTGTGTTTAAACATTTACCCAGGGGATCCAGTTACCACGATGTTGCTGGTAACCAGTTCCAAAGACCAAAACCATAGACTTCCAATCCCAGGTTCCTTATATAGTGGTTTGCCTGGGATCCACTGGGTTACTTTCCTCTAGGCCGCGGGGCTGTCGGAGTTCACCTTGTTCTACGTCCCCAAATGCCTACAACACTGACAACGCGTGACATGCTTGGTGGTGGAAAGGCTTGCCTCAAAAACGCCACCGAAAGCAGGGTTCCAAGCAGCATTCAACGGCCGGTGTTCAACGGCCCGGTGTTCAACGGTTCAACGGTCACCGTGACGAAAGGTTTCGCCCCGACTGAGGCGGTGATGGTGTGCATTGGCATGGCCATGTTAATGATGGCCATCGTGGCCACTGCCGCCTTAGTCCACCGCGCTGCCATGGGGGGCGCCCAGGAGCCGCTTGGTTCCCGCCCCAAACAGCTCACTCGCAACAGGAGTGAGCTGGCCATGGGGGAAGGCTGAGCTGTTTGAGTCGGGACTTTTGAGGAAGTTTTGAAAACGACAGCAGGAACCTCAAGAAACATCCTTTGTTGATGCATATATGATCATGATCATAGTTATGATCAGTAGTTATGATCTATTATATGCTCAAACATGTGCAAACCAACATGCCCAGGTCTTCTCCATGTCCTTCTCCACTTGGGGAGATGAGACGGTGCCGAGGTATTCCATCTTCAACATGGGCAAGGTGGCACCTGCCCCTTTGGTCTACCAACGCTTGATCGCCCTCTCCGCCGAGCTCCAGAAACTGGATGAGAGCCGTTTGGATCCGGTTTAACTGGTGTTTGCTTGTTCATGAAAAAATGGGCTTCTGGCCTACCTCCTGAGAAGATGGTTTGGGGGTGGATTTTGATGGATTTTGGGGGTCCAGCCACCTTCTGAATATATGGTTGGTGCTCTAGGGATTCTTGTTGTGCCCGCTCTTTGCTAAGAAGGTCAAGAACTAGCATCCTCCAAAGGGACACCATTGGTTCGACCTATGTTTATATTCGGGCCCAAGAACCCTCAAACGAGGAGACCTGTTGGCGGGTGCTGGTAGTTGGCATTCCTCGCGGTGTGAAAGGGAGGGAAAGCGTGGAACAGCCGAGGTTGGGTGCAGGGAAGGATTGCCAGCATGTCAGCCTTTGACATTAGGCCGGGAGCCGTGTTTCACTTCGTTTGGAGGGCGGTGTTGGGTGGGCATCATCATGTGGGTCAACTCAAGAAGATGAGACTACTCATTTGGGTCCGTGGTTGGGTTCCGTTTTGTAGGCCCTTCGTAGGTCCTGGCAGCTGGATGGTTTTGAGATGCTTTCCAGTGGGCATCCAAAGGGGTGTCAATGTATTATAGGCACGTATATGAAGGGTTGTCCATTTACCACCCCTTGTCCGCCCTGGTTGAGAGGCATTTTGTTGAATCTTTTGCCAGCCCTATATGCCGTTCTTGGAGCGTGCCTTCCGTTTCTTTGGCCTTTGTTGGTTCCCCAGCCACGGCGCGGGAGGGTGGAATCGATCCAACAGGATCCAACAGGTGTTTACAGTTATCAATTCCTTGCATGGACGCCGTGGCCTTTCACTCCGTGCCCAGTTCGGCCCAATTCGCACTTCTCGGAAGCTGATATGCATGAGCACATCACAGGCTGCACCCCTTCTCCGCTCGAGGCTCATCACTGGCTGCATCACCTTGCTGGCCATTGATTGCGTGCCCCACAAGGCCGATCGCTGGTAAGACTAGATGAAGGAAGGCTGCTGACTGCAGCATCCAACGACCCACCGGGTTCGGGGCAGCTGGCTGCTGCCTAGATCTTTTGGAGACGACTTAATTGAATCCAGGTATATAAATTGTAAGTGCTGAGAGTATCGTTTGTGATACGATCCACTGAGATTCATCCTGTGTTTTGGGTCTGTTGCTTCCGGAGATTGGCCGTTGTTCATGTCGTGGGCGCCGGTGAAGGTTTCAAGTTTCAGAAAAAGAACTACATTTAGCATATATCCCTAGGGATCCAAGTACCTTCTCAGAAGGTACTTGGACCCTCCAAACCTACACAACAGTGCCTCCAATCACCTTCTGAGAAGATACCTGGATCCCTAGGGTATATATATATATAGAACGTTTCATCACACCACCTTAGCTTACCAGGACATGACATGAGTTTGATGCGTCGTATGGCGTGTGCTAGTTGGATGGTCTATGAAATTGCGTTTGACACTTGAAGGGCCTAGCCATGGGGTGTTGACGTTTGGACTCCTGGCAAGCATGTATTGTCATTGCCCTCCCAGAATTTCCCAGCGTTGAGCCCTGCAAGACACTACTTCCCCCCACAAAGCCATCCAAACTCAACTCGTGCACCTAAACGACTTCCAGACTTCTAGGATCCCTGTTGCTACCGACAATCTGGGTGTGCTTCAGCACAATGTTGATCAATTTTGTCATTATATGCGACTCATTTAGTATAAGAATAGAAATAAACAACGAAACACATGACTCTTGGATCACTTGAATTGAGTCTGCCAGGTGAAATGTATCCACACTCACTGTATATTCTTGGCTGTTCGTGCATGTTCGTGCTAACCTCTGGAGAGCAAAACCCTTACTTTTTTGTTTAACTTCATAACTCGTTGTTTTAGACTTAATGACTTGAAACACAATATGTGGCCTATTGCAACCCATTGTTGTATATTCACAATTTTTGACTAACATGAGCATGCTTGACCTCTCTTCTCGGTAGGAACGGGATTTTCGAAGAGAGGTTGAGAGACCTGAACTAGGATAGTTTTTGGTTGTACATACGGGATGGGCCCAAAAGGGGCTGTGATAAAAACCTCTCTACCAGGAACCCTCATAACCATGAAAAATAAAGGTGTTCACATACAACAACAACCATGTTTTCTTGCTATATGGAAAACCAGGTGTTTGATGGTTTGTGGGGCCCCTTCTCCCAAGAGTTTTGGACTTCGTTCTGAAGCCAGCCGCTCTAATGCTTCAGGCGGATGAGCTGAAGTTCAACTTCGCACGGGTGTCCGCGCAATCCTTTGCCGTGCGGGGTAAGACACAGAAGAACATCTATAAGGAGCCCGTGTCACCCGTCGCCCGGCGCGACGTGTGGCGCACCATGCCTTCCGACAGAGGTTAAGTGAACTGAACTAGGACCCTACAGGAGTACCTATAGGATAGTCTATAGGGTTCTTCAACCTTTGCTGGTTGTTTGGTTCCGAAAGCTCCAGGAGCCCCGAGATCTCGTCGCCTCGCTCCTAGTAGTAAGGCCAGGAGCCCGACTTTCGTAGCGTTCTTGCTCCGTTCGTAGCGATGCCAGGAGCCCCGATCGTAGCCTCTTGCTCATTGTGTAGAAATTTTTGAAAATGTGTGCCCAGGGGCTCCAGTTGTACCTGCTCAGAAGGTATTTGGACGCTCTAAATCCCACCCCAAACACCTTCATGTACTTGGAGCCCTAAGGTGTAACATATCCCAGTCCGAGTGTTGGGGTGTGGACTGCGAGAAAGAACATTGGCGTTGGCTCTCATTTGCTCGGCATGGCTCTATGTGGTGCTGAAAACTGTATCTTGACTATCCCTAGTTTTTCCCTATGGATCCACACACCCTTTGAGAAGGTGATGTGTTCGACTCTGTTCTCTACAGTGGTTTCAGAGTAGATTGCACAATCCCCCACAAGGTGGTTCATATGGACCACCATATCCAAGACATCTTTGGGTGCGCCATTTCTCACCTCTGAAACGTACGTTCCGTCGGGTGGTGCCCGGGCAACCGTCGGAGCCCAGCCGTACTGAAACCATCGGCCACATCTCCCGGAGATCCCACCGACCGGCGCAGCCTCCATCGTCTGGGACCCCCTGCGCACCGCGGTGGGTCGGCCCCACCGGTTGCGCCATCCAGGAGAATGTGCACCAGGTGCCAAGCGAGGAGACCACCGCGCTCGCGAGGGTTTCAGGGGTCGGCGTCGGAGGGTGTGAAGCTCCGGCTGCTGCCGGGAAGCGAGGCCAAGAGAGGTTGAAGAACCCGAAGGTTCGACTACTGTATCCCAGAGGTGCCTCAAGTTACGGGTCCTGGAGAGAGAGAGAGAGAGAACCACGGCCATTCCTGTTGCTTTGATAGTTCATGATAGTTCCTATAACGCAGCAACCATGCAACCAAGTTGAAGAATCTCGAAAAGCTATTGGTACGAGCATCTACTCGTATGTCCAAAAACAGGCAAGCATGAGCCGGTCCTAGCCGGTCACTCAGTGAAGTTCGGAACTGTAGAGGCATGCTTTGGAGGGCAAACAAACAGGTTCAGAGGATGTGCTTTTTGTCGAAACTGTTTTGGGCAACTGGAAGAAGGTTTTGGGCAACTTGAATTTCAAGGTGGGGAGCCTTTAGCCATGAAAAAGCCACCAAAGGTTGGCTTCCCCCCAGAAAGCACCGCCAGTGAGATGGGCCTTCGCGGCCTTCGTGTGAGATGGCCCCTGCCAGACGGAATCTGCCGAAAGCTTGCAGTTTCTGGTTGATTGCATGTGAATCTCTTTGAGTGAAGGGTTTTCGGTTTTCTGGGTTTGAAGGAAGCTGAATAGGTTTCTGGATTGATAGATCCTTTCCCTGGCCCAGATGCCACAGCCCTTCTTTCGTGTGGCAGTAGCCTCCGAAGTCGAAGGATGCAGCGTATGTTTGCCGTGTGTATTTGATGTCCAACTCCATGTGCCCTACTGTGGATCCAGTTTCCGGTCTTGCATCTGGCTGCCAGGTCACAAATTCTCCAAACCGGCCCCGGGGTTTGTACTAGAATAGCCAAGACTATAGCCTCCCAACCACGGCGGTTTGTTGGCACATTGGCATGTTTTCCTGGCACATTGGCATGTTTTCCTGGAAGGAACCACGAGCTCGGGTCGTTGCGGGCTGTCCATATTCACCGGGGCGGCCGGAACTCGGGGGGCGGCCAGAACTCGGGTCCTGTCGGCCAGCGACAACTGCTGGGTCGCCGGTTTCGTCGCCCCTGCGTTTGCCCGGGGGCTTCTGCCCTGCCAGGAACATCACCTTTAAGATCCTCTAACCTTTGTTGGGGTTTGGTTTCTCCACTCCACACTTTCTCAGGTGAAAAGAACATGTATTTCGAAAGGATCATCTCATTTCAGGACCCACCAGGGCTGGTTAATGGACCCCTTAACCTCTAAGGAGCTATTATTATTGGCCCTGGTTTATGTGTTCATTTATTTATGCAGCTCTTTTTTTTCAGAGACACTTGACGCTCATCCTCTTCGTCCACCACTGCGTTCGCCGCTCGTGGAGGAGAACGCCCTCAGCTCGGCGGCGGAGTTGGCCGCCGAGCTGGCCTTGGATGCACCTGAGCTGGCGCCAGCGCCAGGAGCAGAACTTCTGAAGTTTGGGTCAAACTTGGACTCTCAGGGGAGTAACGTGAAACGGTCTCCGTTTGCGAGCCTCGGTGCTGGTTCCTCCCAACTTGGGGGCCCAAAAAACTGCAGGTGGTCCCTCTGAATTTTCTCCAGAAGTTCCTCTCAGTTGCTACCAGGGGCCCACAAACCATCAAAAACCATCAAAACTATGGTTTTCCCTAGCAAAAAGACATGGTTTTCGATGGTTTTTGTATTGTGAAACCTGTATTGTTCATGGATATGAGGGCCTCTGGTAATGTTGAACGGAAGCCGAGGACCCATGTTTTTGAGACAGACGTGCCTGTTGGGAAGTTGTGGGGGGCTTTCAGAATAAGGACCCTCAAATGACCACGCATATACCGTCCATCTCTTAACAGCACTAAAGCCTATCCGATTTTATGCACCAAAAGGATCCAAGAAGGGTCCTAGTTCAGGTCTCTCAACCCCTCTTGAAAACCCGTTGGGTTTGCTTTGTTATCTTTGTTGCTTCCCGTCGGGACGTTGCTTCCGCGACTCGTTGCCTTTTCCTCGGCGGCGGCTTCCCGGAGTCGCGACTCGTCCAGGAGTGGCTGAAGCTGCAATCGTCGAAACGACCGAAGACAATCGTCAAGCCGGGCCCTTCAAAAGCGGTTGGGTTTAGACGCTGCAAGTGATGCCGCGCGGCCTATTCTCTACGGGCAAGGGCCTGTAGCTGCGAGGCTGAGAGGGGGTCGAAGCTTAGGAAAAGGTCAAATGATGGACGGGGAGCACGGCCAACGAGCGAGTCAGAAAGAATGTCCACGCAAAAGTTTGAACTGATCGTTTGTTTTGTTTTGTTCATCATCCCTCTAGTGTTGGGGCTGATGATTTGGCCTCTCTCATATCTCCGAATAATGTAATTAAGCTGAATTGGCTTGATGTTGGGCACGTCCTGGGATTGCGTTTTCCACTTGAATGGCCTCCATGGTTTCCACACTTGGGAGGAGTCTAAGCATGTGATCTGGTCGACCACTATGAGGACCATGAGACTCCTATAATCTCAATTAGCAGGATTCAATCTGGGGGCTTCTGGTTTCCTTCCATGTTGCGGGGTTTGTCAGGAGAACCCTCAAAAAAGTTCGTGCTTCGAGGCTGCAGGGAAATTCGCAAGTCCAGGACGATTCCTCGCCCCAATCTGTTAACTAAGGCCGGTTCCCCCAAATGGTGGGACCGGCCGCCAGCCGGCACCATGTGCCCACCGCACTGACCAGACCAGACTTGAGGAATCGAATCGATCATTCTCTGCGGAGACGGCAGCCGCGGCGGTGCAATGGTGGGAGACGAAGACTTCTTAAGAAGAATGATCTACCATGGCAAAACCGCTGGGAACTGTACTGGATCTGCCAGCACATAGCCCTTAGCCTCCAGGGTATCGTGACAACTTGAGGCACCAGTAGGATCCTGCTAAGGTTGCGTGGCAGCCAGGTCTATGTTCGTATGTATTAGTAAACGATGTAAACGTGTAGACCAACCATGATAATCAACAGATATCAATCCCAGACACTCCATGTATGCCATATATGCCTACATTGACCCCCAAAACCACCCCAATGTAGGCATATATGGCAGTCCCATGGAGTGTATGGGAATAGCTTACATGTTGCCATTTTGATACCTTGAAGCCCTTGGACCACCGTTTGGATCGGGTTTCTTCACCTTGAACCCCTTGGACCACCGAATGTTCTCGGAACTCGGAGGGAGGATGACGAACCTTTTGTCACCCACAAACTCTCGCATGGTTCCACCAACAGAGGTGGGTCAGAACCCTAGTTGGACTATCCCCAAAACAGTCCCTAGGGATCCGAGTACCTTCTCAGAAGGTGATTGGAGGCACTGTTATGTAGGTTTGGAGGCTCCAAGTACCTTCTGAGAAGGTACTTGGATCCCCAGGGAGTGCTTGGTTTCCCCCCGTTCGTTTCAGGAAGAACACGTCAACCCGTTCGTTCGTTGCAGGTTGCAGGTTAGTCTCACAGCTCCGGTTTCACTCCGCAGGTGGCTGCTCGTTTTGGGATCAAGGCTTTGACACGGATCGTTGTTTTCAAGGCTTGCATGTCTTATGGATCCAAGGATTCTGGAAGTATTCCAGGCAGAATGGCCACTTGTTTTCGTCACCGAGCGGGTTCAGCGATGTTTGGAATCGCTGTTTTCATGTACTAGGCCCACAGATTCCTTTACCTCAAGGAATGATAGAAAACACACACACACACACATGCACACACACCAAAAAAAAGGGTCCCTGAGTTCAACCACACAGAATGCCAAGCCGACTCCATCAAGGTTAAACCACCCATGCCAGGAAGAGTGGATGACCTGCATGCCAACCCTTTTTTAGGGATTGGTTTCCCCACCAACCGTCCAGAGGTGGAAACGGGCTACAGACGACCTAAGAATCCTTGGGCTCTCCATGGCAGGGGTCCGGACCCGAACCAGACCCTATGTGTTGCTTCGGGCCCAGATTCTTAGGGTGTAGCCGCTGTAGCCTTTGTTTCAGGGAAACTAAGGGAGTCAGACGACCAAGGTGTGTGGTGCTTGGTTCGTTGTGGTCGGAACCCCCATCCAAAACTCATGGCGATGCATTGACACGTTGCGCTCGCCTGACGCGCTCGCCTGACGCGCCTGTACAGGCCGGGCACCTGACAGAGCCTCCGAGGGCTGGACCCTAAAGAGAAACATATCATATTGGCTAATGCTTTTTGGGCTCCAAGTAATAAGATGATGTAACAAGTACCTCCTCCGAAGGGTCTTTGGACCCTGGGCACCCTCTCACCCTGCTGCCACGTGTCCAACACCTTCGTGGAAACGAAGGTCCATCTGCAGCCCAAAGGGGGCAGCGAACCAAGTACCATCCTTGGACACACCTTTGCAGGGGTTCGGACCCGAATACCACCAAACCCTCGCCATTGCTTCGGGCCCGAATTCTTAGGGTAGGAAATAAGGTCATTGTCTCAGCAGGCTTGCCAGCAGTCTCCAACCAATCACCCGGAGCGACCAGTCCACAACTTCTTCCTCTGGGAGAGAGGATCGTTTTCGCCGGGAGAGACGACGACAGGGACTCGGGGCCTCCAGCTGGTTGAACAATGTATAGAACAACTCATACCTAGCGCTTCCTGTCTGGGTGTCCAATGGTGACCTATAAGCAGCGTAGGCTTGTCCAGGTCACCCTTTGGAAACCTGGTATAACCTGATGATTTCAGACTAAATCCCAGACACGATTCATGGGACGGCCATGTCGGACTGCCGAGAAACGGCCAGGGGTGGTTTTAGGGGTCAATTGATCGGCATACATGGCAGGGATATGCAAAAACTATAGGAGGATCTATTATACGATGAAGTACCACCCTGTTTGGGGTTACGTTTCTATTGATAGCTCCTTACAGGTTAAGGGGTGTCGATTAACCACCCCTTGTGGGTCCTGGTAGGTGGTGTGTTTTTGGTAGGTCCGGTTTACCCGGACCTCCCCGGGAGGTCACCACACTGACAGTAGAGCAGACAAAGACACTGACGGGGGACAGAAAACGACCACCGATGGGGGACAGTCATGGACAGAAGACCTCCTTTGTTCACATGGAGAAACCCATATCACAGACATTTCTAGAGCTCCGCCTCCATGGTGCTGACGATGTGTTCGAACGGTCTCCCACCATGCTCAGAGACCGTGTGACGCCTTCGGCGTGCAGGGGCGACCCATATCGTCGATGTGTGAGGCGGCGAGGGGGGTGGAGGACGAAGGTGACTTAAGAAGGGACCTGTATACCAAGAATGCAGGGGCCGAGCTCGGTCCGGGCGGCAGTCCTGTACTTGGGCGCCAAGTACAGGGCGACCCAATGGTTGGTCCCAAGTCCATGCACATACTGAACCATGTTGTTACAGTAAGTCTTCATATTTGGAAATGACCTCCCACATCCTCCCACATATTCCCACTGCAATTGATTAAGGAGCCTGGCTAAATAGAATACAACTCCAGGCGGTCAGGCCGCCAGGCCTAGTATTAGTACTGGAAGTGTTGGCAGTCGTCGTCTTCGTCGTGGTGGTGATGGTCGTCAAAGCGTAATCGTGGTCGTGGTCGTAGTAGTAGTGTTCAGCAGCAGCAGCAGCAGCAGCAGGAGTATGAGGCAAGAGAAAAAGCCCCCAGCAGATTCAGGGGTTGGCAAACATTTCATGAACACTATGTTGATCTATTTTGTAAGTCCGCCCTATTATATTTATCAAATCAGGATTGGTCATTACATGTTAAGCTTATTTGCTCACCCCTCGAAGGACTGTTCTGCTTCTTCACGCATTGGTTCATTCATGTTCATTGGGCCATGGGCCCTTCCCTCTAACGATCTGGTCGTTGTCGGGTGGTAGAAGACGGTCTCAGCTTCAGACGGGTCTCACCGTTGAACACCTAGCCTTCCCTCACAAGAACCGGAACGCCTTCCAAGACAGGTTCACCATGGATTTCATGGAATGGTGAACCCCATGGTGAAATGTAGTCTCAAATCCGGTAAAACGATGCTTCGTCCAAGCAATGGGTAAAAAAACCGTCCAAGCAATGGCTGTTGGACTTCCGAATCCCATGGAAGTGGGAAGGTGATCTTTTGGGGCCTAAACACTATGGAGGGGCCGCCTAAGGCGAACCGCACCAGTGTCTCGAAGACTAAAAGTGTCTTCTCATGTCACTCACGTCAGTCTCTCGTCGAGTTCGACTATTCTTACAGTGAAGTAAAGGAAGTTCCTTGAAACCATGCAAGTAGATTCCCTCCCAAATACCTATAAAACCGGACTTTCATTAAGGTTAAATTAAGGCCCGGTGTTGACAGTGGACTCTCCGGAGAAACCGCTTCCAGATCACCTCACCGGGGCCAGATCGGTCCACCGAGGCGCTGTGGAGCTTGCTCCAGCGCTGTGCCGAGTTGCACGGCAACCCGTCCGCCGCCGAGGCGGGCTGGGAACGAGCGGGTCGGGGGAGTCATGGTCCAACACCATGGGAGGTGGATATCCCTTATACCCTATAGGGATCCAGTCGTACCTGCGAAGGTACGACTGGACCCTCCAAACCAACCCCAAACACCTCCTTGGAGGCCTAGGGTTATAGAGGAATCTGCTCATTTTCAGACAACATCATCAACCAGCGTCCACCGGTTTTGACCCACTGCCGCATCCTAACGCCATGTTCTCTTGGCAGCAAAGCACATGCTTTTTACGCAGGTCTAGGTCTGAGTCTACGTCTCTTTTTTCAGGGGTTAGCTGGGTAGAGGATTTGGACCAGGAAGTCGCGAGGCCGAGTTCATATGAACGAGCAAGCTGTGGCAGGCCCCGCACCATGCGGCATGTGTGGACTTGCTCGCCCAGACCCTTCATGTTTGCACATGTCAATTGACATCAACGGATGGGCGATCGTGTGGGTGAAGCTGAGCCATGGGAACACCCTAACGATCTCAGACCACGACAGGTGCTGCACGTCTGGCACGACGACCGCGTCACGGCCGGAAGCAACGTGCCTTGGTCGGCCTCGATGGCTCCACGCTGTGAGGGCCACGGGTTTTGAAGAACAGCCCTGAGATAGAACTGGGATTCCAACAACTGTTGTTTCAATGGCCTTTGCTGAACAACCACTTTGATCCATTTTGTTTTACTCTG